AAGTCTCTTTCCATCTGGAGGAGAATGTCCGCAAGTAGAGTTATTCCGGCATAAACTGTTATGGTATAATTACACAGCTATAGCTATGCCAGTCTATTTTCTGATGTAGGCAAGCCAAGTCTAGTTGTTGAAACGTAGGCGTGGGAAACAAGAAGTCTGCTTTCTAGGCTCAGCTCTGAGTGCTCTTTGTGGCCTTGGGCCAGTCCCCTAACCTTTCTGCCTCCTTCCTATGCAAAATAAGAAGACTTAAATTAACCCACTTCACAGATGCGGCAAAATGACTAATTGGCTAAAATTTGTAGCGCTGGGGAGAGAACTGTCTATTAACTTCGGTGTCTTTGGCTGGCTGAATAATTTAATGTATTTTTAAAAGTGGAGTTTGTCTCCCTCTCTCAGGATAGGGTGGCTGTGCCACTACAAAGCAGTGTCATTTGATGTGAAGTGGATAAGCTAATAAAACCTGTGTTTTACTTTACTGCCTCTAACAACAGTATTGTGCTTGTGTGGAGCTGGAGCAAGAGTCAAGGCTGTAGTTAAGATTTTGCTTGAAAGCAAAACTTGCAGGTACCCAGAACCTTTGCAGACTCTTCATACACAAAGAACGTGGGTATGTAGTGATGAGGGTACCCCCATCAGTGCAACCTGCTGGCAAACTATGTGTGTTATTCCCCTTCAATACCAGTGAAAATAAAGGATAACTCCCTGTTCTTCCTGTTGGCTGCTCTGTTGGGTAAAGGCTCAAGCGTGTATCGGCAGCCTGAATTCCAATGCTTCCTAATGTTTGTGTGCTTAACTTTGCAAATTTAAATTTAAAAATATCTATGTATATAATGCATGGCATACACAACCAGAGCTTCTTAATGGACCGTTAACTCTGGTGCCTAATAACAGCATTACCATGGTCACCACCACCCAGCAGTTCAGCCTCGACGAAGAGATGCTCAAAGAAAAGAGGATGATGCTATCACACCTGATCCAAGACCTGTTGAAGGCGAGGGAAGGCTCCTGTGAGAAAGCGCATCAAAGGTTCACCGTCGGCTTGGAAGACACGGGGCACTGCCTCGCTGCGGAGGTGCTGACCGGCTGCGGTAGGTTTGGGTCAGGGCCCCGAGGAGGGACCGTGTCACCTGGAGGTGTTACTTCAGCCTTGGCTGTGAGGCACAGCAAGGGTTTTCCTCAGGAGAATAAGGCTGGTTTTAGCCCTCTCCCCACCACGCTGACTCCTCGGGAGAGGGGAAAAATAGCGTGGAAAGGCTTTTATTTCAACCGGGCTCTCTCTCTAAGCGAAACACTTACAAAAAGGAATAGAAATTACCTCATGTGTACTTTGAATGTCCAATTAGATAACAAGCACGGCCGCTCTAAACCCTTCCCCTCCTGCTTTGCGCCGTCCTCCGGCTGCCCCCCGGCCTCCCACCGCGGCGGCAATTAGCCCAAAGCCCTTACCGGGCCGGGGGGGGGA